GCACATAACTTTAGCTCCTTTAGATGGATTCCGATGGTTACATCTGTATGTTAAAGAAGAATTTGTTAGGCGAAATCAGGTTTAGTCAGAACATGTTAGATAAATTTAAAAGCCTTATTAACTTAGAATTTGTGTTCAGTGTCTACAAGATGAGCCAAAACGGAGCTAAGAATAAACCTTGGCTATTGTGAAGTCCGATGATGAACATGCTTAATTGTACACCCAATGTAACTGACTCCATAGGAGCTGTCAAACTGATAGTTACACATAGAGGAAACGAAATTAAGTACTTTATGCTTATTCCCCTTGCATAAAGTTGGAGTGGTTATGAAGAGAAAGTACACTTCTGCCTCATTGAATGCTCTTCTTACTGCATTCACTGATGTTATCACCAAAGAACTTAAGCTTTATGAACAAGAGCTTCTTCGAAGCTATCGACATACCAACTTGCCTTTGAGTCATGTCCATATTTTTATCAATAAACTTTTCTGGATATCCATTTTTACTGAGTAATTCTCTAACAACATTGAGTTTGTAAAGGAGATTACTCTAGATCTGTGGACCTGACACCTTACTAAATTGCGGCTAAATTGCAAACTTACTAAACACTCAAGAAATGAGTATACCGACAAGTCGATGTTGTAGGTTTTCTAGATATACTCCTTTCTGATTGTGCCACCCCCTTTCCTAGTCATATGGGTGTTTAAGAATGGTACAATTTATTGCAGAAGGCTCATTTTTGATAAACAGAAACGTATTATCCATGTAACGACAATAGAATTCTAGTTCACCAATTACACCTTTCAATGGCCTCTTTTCTAATTATGCAAGGAAAATACCAGCTGGCATTGGTCCCATTGTCTGTCTGTCTGTTTTCAACATAGAACTTTGCACCAATGTGCAGCAGTTCAAGTCGCCACACTCCATGTAGCACACAAAGCAAGAGAAGAAAGTAGAAGAAATGCATAATAGAGACAGTAAACAGGGATATGAGACAAAAGGAACAGTGATAACGAAGAACAATATAGTTTTATTGGAAATTATAAGTCACAAGGAGTGGATGCATCTGCGCCGGCCATTGAGAACGAAGATTGTGAGACATCACCAATTGTCTCCAGCCATTGGTTTTTACCGTCCCGAGGACCCTAACCAGTCAGGAAGTCTACACCTTTCTACGTGGGTTAGACTAACTGTTGTAGATTTCATTGACTGGTGCCATATTTTCGTTTGACTGCCGCTAGCTCTTTTCCAGCCTGACTGTATATCAGCTAACATTGCCCATTGTCGAGGAAGGCGATGGCTAGGCATTCGTAACACATGTCCTAACCATCTCAATCGATGTAACTTCACAGCCTCGTCTGTTGATTTTCCCTCCTTACCTAGCACTCGACGCCTAACCTCAATATTGCTCACTCTGTTAAACCACTTCACACTGGAGATAGAACGCAGGCACCTATGATCAAAGACATCTAGCCTTTTCATGTCTTCCACTCTCAATGGTCAGGTCTCACAGCCATAAAGGAGGACGGAGTGGACTGCTGATTAGTACACACGTCCTTTAGTCGATAGCCAGCCGGATATCACGTCTATGCCAGAGATTGGTCCCATTGGTTACCCTATAGCCCCACACCATCAATCAGTCTTCAGAATTCCTAAATGAATAAGAAAGAGTGAATATTCATTGTGTTCTACAATGAACAGTTTTATTCGCCCCTGTGTTTATACTACGCCTTCAATGTAAACGAGAACTTTTTATCACCCATTTGTTTGTTTATAGAGCTGAGACTTGAAAAACTCAGTGAAATCTGTATAATGACACCTTGTATGTAATTATTAACGTATAATGTATGTATACATTATGTGTGGAATTCCAAACTATAATATGCATAATATCGTAGTTTTAGTGTGTGATTCTCATTCAACATAAATATTAACATAATGTTTGATAGAATAGGTTATTTCATTCACGTCGATTGCATACGCAAACAGTTTGTTAAGTTACAGCATCTGTCTAACTCTTGTATTTTTGTTTTAATTCAGTGATATTTAATCCAAGGTAGTTTACCTGTTTACACATGGTAGTAGTATCAAGGTGGAATGAGTAAAGCAAGTAGTGTAGGTAGGTAGGTAGTAGAAGATGACTGTCAAATTTAGCCCTGAGACTCAACGGAAACAGGTGATCGTCAATCGTATCATTTTTGAAAAGACAGTTTGATAGTTGATATGATATGCAAATGGATATGGCGTTACACAGTGTGCTCAATAAGACTGTCCTATTAGCTTCCTTATACCACATGTGAATAACTCACTATCCAGCTGCAACCGGTTATTTTTTAAATTCAATTAGGGAACAGCATTACTCGTAATTAATCTTGGTTGAGGAGTTAGTACATAATTTTTGTTGGTTTGTTTCAACATAAATAAATATCATTTAGACTCACCCAGTGATGGCTTCATTCTGCGTATTAATTCCGCTGCGGAAAATACTGGGTGAGTCTAAATGGTTTAATTTAATGCCTAAAACTAATAAATAAATATCGTTTTGAAGAATACTTGAAAAACCATGGAGTAATGAACGGTCGTTTGATCATAGTTCCGGTATATTAAGTGATTTGTTGGAATTATGCTGTAAATTGAGAGCAGTTGGGGATTATAGGCCATGTAATTTCAACACAGAGAGGTTTCGCGTGCAGGGCCAAACAAAAGCATGGCATCAATCCATGAAATCCTTGACAGTTAAACTGAGTCAGGTAGCGAGATGCAGACTTCCGGGTTGGAGCCCTTGGGACTCTAAGAATCAATGGCTGGAGACACTAGGTGACATGGCTCAAAATGATCGTTGTCAATGGCTTACGCAGATGTATTCAGTCTCTGTAATCTTTCATATTCCTTTCTACCATTACTCATTCTGTTTCACTCTTATACTTTTCAAAATTCTATTGATTCTCTTCACCCATTTTCTTGTCTACCTTTGTGTGCTATTTGGAACGTGGTAACTCGAACTGCTGCACTTCGGTGCCAAGTTGTATGTTGAATCCAGACAGACAGTGTGTTCAATAAGACTGCCCTATTAGCTTCCTTATACAACTCACTATCCAGCTGCAGCTGGTCATTCGTAATTTAATTAGGGAACAAAATTACTCGTAATTAATCTTGGTTGAGGAGTTAGTACATAATTTTGTTAGTTTATTTCAGCATAAATGAAGAATACTTGAAAAACCATGGAGTAATGAACGGTCGTTTGATCATCGTTCCAGTATATTAAGTGATTTGTTGGAATTATGCTGTAAATTGAGAGCAGTTGGGGATTATAGGCCATGTAATTTCAACACAACAACGGAAGACTGATGTTCTCACTTTATGACTTGACTCGATGATTCATTGGGACGGTGGTTGTGTCTTCCAAACCTGGATGAAACTGCTGTTTAGTCTTCATTTGTTTTTTCAACTGTTTTCAACAAATTTTCTACACACCCGTACAACTAAATAATACTATTTGACTATTATCAATATCTATTCTCGATAATATGTTAATCAAGTACTTATGCAGTAACTACAGTTAATTTAGCTTAATTTATCGAGTATCTGAACTGCTACAACACTTGGTCTTAGTCAAATAGGACGCTTTCAGACTTAATTCTCAGTATTCTCACCAGATACTCGTGCAAGACTGATATAGCTTGAGAGATTTTTTCTTTCAATCTAGACACCTAAGTTGTTCTATTCTCAACGTTGGATATGTAAGTTATTTATTAAATTCTGTTATCTATTTATGTCTGTTTTCAAGATTCAATTTAGAACGACACATTCGCTTGGTTCATACAGAAAAGGAAATTGCATCATCCTCTTCGGCTTCAAAAGGAAACAGCACTTCAGTCAGTGATGTCCAACATTCGAATACAACTGAATCCAATGAAGAATGTTCATCACATCAAGATGGTAATACAACTGTTGTTCCAACTGTTAATGAAACAAATCCACGTGGATATTATCTTTATCTATCGGATTCCGAGTGTTATCAGTCAGTTAACACAACTGCACAATCAACAAGTGTAACAAAACCAACCATAATTCAGTTGAATCCGGAAAATGTCGATTCACAATCTGTTGCTTTCGTCGCAGATGTCAGTCTAACACCATGTCATCCATCCAATCCTGAGGCTCAAATCGGTGTTGGTGGTAAAACTTGGAAACGGAATATAAGTATTGTACAGTCTTCAAAACAAACTGTTAATGAAGATATAGATTCATGATAGAGTGACTGTTACTGATTAACATTATACTAGGTTGTATTTTCATAAAAGCTTTCATAAAATGTACATAATAAACCATATTTTTACGTCGATAGTCACTTTACCCTTTTCGTATTGCTAGACAGAAGTCAATAAAGAAATGTGTTCTTATTATTAAAGCAGTGCAAATAAAAATACAATTTTGTATTTGGGTAATGAAAAATATTTTTTAGATCTTTGTATGTTAACAATCTGATTGACAGGTAATCAAGTACAGTTAACATGTAATTGATATGTATAGTATAGAAGGTTGTCTCTCATTCTAGTTGTTGGAAGACAAACTGTTTCGTGCTGTTCCTTTGTATGCATGTATATGTTTATTTAATCGTGCTCAACTTTACTAATCGATTATTATTAGGCACATCTATTGTGGTCAATCTCCACAAATATTCATATTTTCCTGTGCTTTGAGGTTCCTGTAGTGATTCGACTGATTTTTGGGAGTAAGTCTGTCAGCCCTATGCATAAACTTCCTTCTTTTCCTGGGCTTAGGACCGCCTAACACACTACGTGATGAAGGTACCTAACCGACAACAACCACAACAACAACAAGTGTAACGACAGAAGACAAGGGCCAGGCAGCAGATCGTTTATTGAGGAAATCAACAGATATTTATAGATTTTTATGTACATTATTATTCTCTATTATTAACAAAGAAACAGCGTCTTCTGATTGGTTGTTTTCTCGCTGAAAGTTATTCTGTCATCTATTTGTGGCCATTTCTCTGAAGGTCAGATCATCTGTCTGCGAATCGTATCCGCCCACACAAAATCTGCTGTGATTGGTTGTTAAGTTAGTCTATGTTCTTGTTCTTTTCTCATGACTAAGATTTGGGACGTAAACATTGACGTAAATTGCTGTCTACCAATTTTGGCTAGCGGACAGCTCTCACCACACAAGCACTAGTTACCAAAAAATGAAGTAGTCTAAAAGAAAGTCACTCATCTCTTCCACTTATCTAGACGGCATCGTTTCAGCTACAGGCGGCACAGATGAGGGTGTTAAAGCAATGATTAGAAAGACAAGACAGGCATTCATTACTCTGAAATCACAATGGGAATCCGCTGCACTTGACACAAGGAACACGATCTGGATTTTCAATGTCGAAGTCAAGTCAGCGTTTCTATATGGTTCAGAAATTTGGCGTGCGCGAACAAAAAAACATTTTCAACAGCAACCTTCGGTCCATACCGAACATCGGATGACCGGCTGGTTGGAGACGATAAGCAACACGAAACTCTAGCAACGAACCAATCGAGAACGTATGGCTCGAACAACATGTAGAAGGAAATGAAGATAGATTGGGCACACACATTACGCTCTGAGCCTGGAGTGGAACTTGACTGGCAAACGACGAGTTGGATGTTCGTCCGACGTTGACACGGAGGAGATTGTGTGTGAAGGAAATGAAAGGTTCAGAGCAATCGTAGAGCTAGTCAAAAAGGATTGCAGAGAATAGGATGAAATGGAGATGTCCTTTTAAAACCCTACTTCCCATTTGGAACAGACAAAGAGCACTTTCTGACAAGACTGTGACTTTCAAGTCTGTAGGCCACAAACTAAGTGGAAAACTAGATAGCATATTAATAGACTATTCAAATATTCTAGGAGGGGGTTGTAATTCCATGACTTACACTGAGTAATTAAAAATTCCGGTGTGTCAAGTTCGAAAGTAGCTACAAACTATCACCAACATTGTTCAGTGTATGAAATGAATTACATGTTTTAGATTCTGAATAGTCATGAATATTGAATAGTAAGGTATGGAAGGGTTGCTGCTGAACAGAAAGAAACTATGGGAATATATTTCTATCACACTTAGTTAAGTGAACTAGCTATTACACAACAAACAGCATTATTTGACATTTTGAGATTATGAAGTAAGTCCAGTGGATAGAAAATTTAACATTAGCAAATTTTTTCTTCTACCTGTAAGGTTACCTGTGCTTTATTATTCTAGAGACAGTTTTTAGTAAGCCGATTGTGGGCTAAAAGTAGCTACTAAGATTTCAGTGAACTTATTACCGACTGACAGCTTCAATATCGAACTTTGCACAGAAGTGTATCAGTCCGAGTTGCCACACTTCATGAAGCACATTGGTAGAGAAAAGACAGTAAAAAGAACTATAATAAGCGTGGTAGAAAGAATAGCAATATGGAAAAACATTAGAATTCAATGGCTATGGAGATTACAAAAATGAATACATCTTCACCATTGAGAACTATTCTGAGTCATATCACCAGTACTCTCCAGCCATTGATTCTTAGCATCCAGACTACCGCAACCACGCAGTCTACACCTCCTTACATGGCAGCTAACCAGCTGTGAAGGACTTCATGGACTGATGACAAGTTTTGGTTTGACCACTCCCAACTGTTTTCCAATCCGAACCTATGTCAGCTAGTATAACTCTTCGAGGAAGGCGGTGGTTCGGCAAAAGCAGCACATACCGTAGCCATCTCAATGAACATATTCAAGTGTTGGTTTGCAGGGATTTGATTGGTACAGGAAGTCGGGTGTGAGGACGAATACCGCTATGACATTCGCTAGTGGTCGCGTCATATCGTGAATTTGCAGAAGTTGGAATTCATGGATCGGGTCCAAGTAGTCTAAATGGTCTACAAGCTCGCCTTGTAACCGGAAAATCCTGTGTTCGAGCCCCAGGGAGTGCTTACTGATGAAAAGTCCCAAACAAGGACGAGACAGCCGTCCAGTACTCCCGGGTTTTCCAATGGTGCTCTAACCGATGTCAGTTCATGATGAAATCAATGGATATAGCTTTATAACCTCATTGATTCACTTCCCTTCCTCACATAACACTCTACGCCTAACCTCACGACATTATACCACTTAAAACAAGAGACAGAATGCAAATATCTGTGGTGAAACATAGCTAGCCTTTTTATAACTTCTACTTTCAGCGGTCATGTCTCACAGGCATAAAGTAGAACTGGGCAGACCACTGTGCAGTGCACACGTCTTTTGATTGACAGCTGGATAACACATCTAGGCCAGAGATGATATGAGTCGGTAAATGCCATACTAGCCTTTCGTATCCGTCTCTTCACGGACTAACATCTGTCTCCTATAAGATATGCGGAAATCCAACTATCTCCTCATGACTTGTGGTACACTAAACGTGGTATTTTTTTACAAGTATACACCAGCCTTAAATCAGAAGGCACAAGTAAAGGCCTGCTACTGTGCACTAGCAGCAAAGTTTAATTTAAAAGTGTACAAACAAACTGGCGGTGGTTAATTGCTCATTATATAATAAGACACTTGAAAATATCCATTTACAGACTGTCAAACAATACAATAGTAAATATTCAGTAAAGATATACAAAATTGATTTCAACAAAAAATCTCACATTCGATACGTGAATTATTTATAGAAAAGTTTTATCATAATCAAGTACATTGTTCTATAGACTATAAAAAAATGCATATCATAATTGATGGATAAATATGCATATGTTCACTTTTTACAGTAACGTTAACTGATGACGTTTCGAGCACAAATTATTGCTCATAATGATTATGAGCACTGTGTGTTTTATCAAAATAAAATCTTATCCAGTCCACTACAATTAAGAATATCATCGGTGATAATAGGCAGGTGGCCTTGTCCTCCTCCTGTATTCACTTCAAAACCTTCGCCATGTCTTTCGTTGTGGATCACCTGACACGTGGCATTGTCATATAACCAGCTAATGAACGAGGTTTTTAAAGACTTGAGCACTGTACGCCAAAGTGTTTAAGTAGTTTTCAAATTACTTCTCAGTCAACGCTGTCGAAGGCCTTCATAAAGTCGATGAAGTTGAGGCAGACGTTCGACTGCCATTCTATGCTTTGTTCGATGACGATGCGTAGAGTTGCAATTTGATCGGCAAGTGATTTGCTTTCCATGAATCCACCATGTACCGGCGGGTGGAGTTCTGCATCTAGTGCATCTTTTATCCTCTCCAATAGGATGCAGATTAATATTTTCGCCTGACATGATCGAAAACATGATTACGCACCTGTTCTTGCAGAGGACTATGTTGCTCTTTTTTATGGATTGACAAGGTAGTCTTCCCTCCAATCAGTAAGTACCTTTCTTTCCATCCAAATGTTTAGCAATAGAAGCGTGAGCATATGTGCAAAAGTCTCTGGATCCGTTTTCAGTACCTCCAGAGGAATTCCGTCTGGTTTTTTTGCCTTCCCAGACTTCAACAGTGTCGTCATTGGAACAGTCAATATGCAAATTTCGGTTACTAATTTTTTTTAAACAATCAGAAACAACTTAACTATTTTATACAACAATTTGTTGCACTGTCACTTCTTCCCATTAATGTATGCATTAACTAAAGTAACATAGTTAAATTGCATTTAAATGCATACTTCAAACGACTGGTAGCTGCTAATATGTAAATCACTTGTGTAAATACTCATGATATAAAAGGGGTGAGGTTCTGATATGCATGAAAATTAATGTATATAAGTCCAAAGTTTGATATTTAGTCGTTGACGTTTTATCAGCAGTCTCGATGAGACTTTTAGCACTAACTTCATTAGGACGATAGCTAAAAATTAATCTTCCAAACTCTATCTCTACAGTTGATGTATAGTCTTGTTCTAAAAATCAACGATATAATAAATACTGACTATCTAGTTGTAGTACTCACTTGTATTGTTATTCATCTGACATGAACAATAAAATCAGTCCAATTGAGTCAGTGAAAATGAGTATAATAAATTGATATAAGCATAAAACTTGGGCACTGTGGTAGAGTATAACTCCATAATGGATAGGATTTTATTTTAATAAGTCACACAGTGTTGTACAGTTAAATTAACTGATGACGTTTCGAGCACAAACTATTGCTAATAATCATATCATTGATATGATTGTGATTGATATGATTATGAGCAATAGTTTGTGCTCGAAACGTCATCAGTTAATTTAACTGTACAACA